ATTGAATAATGTGAAAATGATGGTATCATTATTTGGATGTACCTATGCTTGTGAACAACCAAATATGCTAAAAGTCGTTTAAGAATAAGGTTGTGTGATAACCATCTAGATAATGTTTCGCTCCTGTTATCGACAAGTATTTCATCCGATGTGGAGATGTTATCGAACAATATCAAGACACTCTATAGCTTTCTGTCCCGCTCTTTCCAAAAGGTTACCGACCACTATTTTAATTAATAATAATTGTTGCTATTTCTTCTAAGTAAAACTATCTACAGCAGTGCATCAATAGCTTTTAACTTATAAAAGTGGCTTTATACCAAGTGCATTGTTTACCTGAAATGCGACTGCGATAGAAATTAGAAAAGAATTGACGAATTTTCTTCATCAGTAAGTCTTATGCTTTCAATGCGCTATTTTGAGTTTTATAATGAATCAAAAACTCCCAAGACATTTATTCGTTTCCCATGAACTTTGCACATTTTCTTTTATCTCCTCTGGGAAGTTTACATCAGTCTTCCTAGTTTTATTGCTACTTTACTCAAAGAAAATAAACGTTCTCCTTGTATTTTCTTCTGATTGGTTGTAAAAAGAATATTTATAATAAGCTTTTCTCTTCTTTAAGATGAAGCTTCACATCCGCATTCGTCAATTGCTGACATAGAATTAAAATAAAAATAAAATAATAACATGGTTGATATTTTATCATTTAAACTCTGCTATTGTATATCTAGGGAAAAATTAACATCATCTGAGCCTAAACCTGCTCAACTAATTCTGATATACATACCCAAACTTATATTTATTTACCTAATGATTTGTATTCATTTTGTCTTTCTTTCTTTCTTTCTTTCTTTCTTTCTTTCTTTCTTTCTTTTCATTCTATTTCTCTCTCCCACTTTCTTTCTTTTTTCAACTTCTCTTTATCTCATTTTCTTAATTTAAGAAAAAATCTTTTTCCTTCCGTTATTTCTTCTTATACTCTTTCTAATATTTATTCTCTCAATATTCACTTGCTTATTTTCCTTTACAATTTCTTTCTTTTTTTTATCATTTCTTTTATTTTCATCCTTTCTTTTGTTTTGTTATTCCTAATGTTTTTTCTATCTTCCTCTTTTCTCTTTCTTCTTCTTCTCATCTTTTTTTCTTTCTTTTTTGTTTTCTATCCGCCACGATTTTCCGTTTCATTCTTCCCACTTTCCCTCGATTTTTTTTTTTCATTTCTTTTTCATCAGTTTACCAGGTTGTAATCAATT